AATTGCTTCTCTGTATTGCAAGAAATCAAGATATTCCACCAGAAGACTTATAAATTACCAAACATTGAACTGTGAGGCCAGAGCCATGTTGTATTAAATACATCCCTAAGATTTCAAGCCACTGAGAAAAATTACTGAAATTTTGCCAAGTTGATCTGCAAACTTCAATCCCATTGGCATGCCCACTGAACAAAGCCATGGAAGGTGTTCAGGAAACACTACCCTGAGTCACATCACTTTAGTAGACTGATTACTTTTAAACTGAAAATACTTGGACAGCTAAACATAAGGCTTTACTTAAAGACAGACCCCCCAATGTAACTCAGCTCTTATCAATCCTCTGAAGATTAATTCTCAGAGCAGAATATCTCACTTAACCCAGTCAGAACTTGTTACAAACCATCATTTCTGCTTCTAAGGATATTTTCTTTGCTCGTTGACCATTTTACTCATTTGAGCGAAGAGATTGGGTCAAAAAAGTTTGACTTTTGATTGACATGTCCTGTTACCACTCACTGCCCTAAATGACTATTAGCTGCTGCTGATTGTACTTGACGACAGACTTACCACCCAGCGTCTGCTCTGACATAAAGTACATACATGGGAAGCCCACTTAGGACACACAACAGAAAATGAGGCATGTCACACATGTGCCAGTCTTTACCTTTCTTCAGTGAAAAAGCAGCCAGTGTGAATCTCTAATTTAAGTCTTCTCTGTCCTCCAGGTGCAGAGGGTGACACCCTTACAAACATAGACTCTTCCTACACCTGTAGATTTCCTTTGCTAATGATAAGTCTCCAAAGTAAGCAGCTTCCCATCTTGTATTCAACTACTGAGTTCAAAGCAGAGCCCAGGACAGTCAAGGTACAATACAGAAAGCATCTCCCCTCCAGCTAAGATACTTCACATTATTGATCTGAGTGCTAGCTTTTAACAAAGGCTCAAAGATGTTTAAAGACAGACCTTAGTGATGTAAGGGCTCAACTTTAGCTTCTTTCTCCCCTTGGTTTAGTCTTTTAAAACATTTTACATGTTGATTTTAAATTGCTCTTATTGTATCTCTGGGATTTTGATCACCAGAAATAAACAAATGAAAACTCTTATTATGACCTCTGTAATTCTCAATTATTGCTAGTAAGGTTCAGCCATGTCTTTAAAAAACAACAAAATCTACACACTAAAAACAAATGAAGAACTACAGAATTCCTGCATAAGAAGTTGACCAGAATTCTAGATGCTAGACCCAGTTCAGCTTCTGTCTAAAACAGGCAGCTACCGCAAACCCCATAGCAGCTACACAGCTTCACATAGCACAACATGACCCCTGGTACTCACCATGAAGTTCTGTCCTCGTTCATCCCACACACTAACCCTGGATGAAGCTCTAGATGATGGGGTTATAGATTCCCTGGATCCAGACGAACTGTAATTCCTTCTCCTAGACACCTTATTTACCTCCTACGCCGGGTGCCATATTTTTGCCCGACCCAATGGGACTGCCAAGACCTCTCCACAGAATCTTTTGTTCCTACTGAACCCAGTTCAGTTTCTGCCTCACTCACTGAGATACCTGACACCTCCATGCAAGACACAGACACAATTTTGAAACACAGTTTGGATTTTAAAAAATTCAGATAGCTCAAAGCACATAACCTATGGGGCTTCACGCCCCCAATGACAGCCCTTACTATGACCACACATAGGCAAGGAGACAGTTACTACAACAGGGGACAGGAACCTGTGTATCCCTGGTGGCCTGCTGTCCCTGGGCCTCCAAACCCCAGCTTCAGACCGTGCTGACTCTGTCAAAAACATTAAAAGAAAAATTCCTAATACTCATTAAATTCAGTAGAGTGTATTTGAGCAGAACAAAATGGAAGCAGGCAACTCCTAGAGCAAGAACAAGCTGTAAGAATCCCACCAGCAAGATAGCACTTAGGAAGAAAACGGAGTCAAGGCATAGAACACCGGATTGGCTACAGCCTAGCCAATCAAGCAGTCGATTGGTTTACAGCTTAACTTGTGAACACTTCACGGGTTCATCAGTGTATTAGCTTTTCTGAGGGTGGACAGAATACTCGACACCCATAATTTAAAGGAGAAGCTTAATTTGACTCACCTTTGATGGGGATTTAGTCTGTGGTCAGCTGGCTTCTAGGCAGAAACCTCATGGCAGAAGCCCATAGTGGCCAAGAGACAGCAGAGCAGGGGAACAGCACCAGCCAGGCAGGGGCTAAGGCCAGACTCAGACGCCGAGGCCACACCTCCTGGGGTCAACTCCACGGTAGAAAGGCGATGCACCAATCCCATGGCCAGATCTCAAAGCCAATCAGGCTGACTCTCTGCCTTAAGTGTCTCCTTTAATTAAGTGGTTACAGGGGCTCTGCACCAGCCAAAGCTCAGTTACTCTGATTAAACTCCATATTGTTTTGGTCAACTGGGCCCAGGAGAGGTACTCAGCCCAAACACATGGCTTCCTACAAAATTTTATTTAACAACTCCAATACTTGTATATAGGCAAGAGCTTCACAAAGGAAATCTGTCTCCAGACCACAGTTCCCTGCACATTCTGTGACAAGCCAGTCCATTGTGCTCAGATGCAGGAAGAACAAAGACCTGTTGCATATGGTTATAATTTAGCACCCCAAAGAACTTTACAAAAAAGTCTATTAATATGGTAAAGCTGAAAGCCTCTTAAAAATATCCTCCTGTCTTCCACGAAGCACTGCCAGAGATGGCTGGCAGCCGCTGGGATGTGAAGAATGAAGATGTTTGTGAGCCCTGCAGCAAGCATGTTGCGGCTACAGAGTCTTCATATGTCACGCTGGCAGCGCCATGTCCTCAAGCACGAAACTATCTACATAAAAATCTCTGCCCAAAAGCTCAGTTCTTCTGCAATACATATGCTGTAGTAAATGATGCCGAGCTGTAATAATTTTCTGAGTTGAAAATGTATCTATCCCTATTGAGACTGGAGGCAGCGTCTGTGAAAAATCTCTTAACTCCTGGCAAGACCTGCCCCACTCCCCTGGGGATGCTTGGAGCAGCTATGGCGCGCTCTGCCTTCTGAAAGAAAAGGAAGCGCGCCCCCTAAAGGTTGGCTTGACCATTAGCAAACACAAACTTAAAATACTACCTCCTTTTGCAGTAATTGCCTGTTTTTCGAAATCACGACCTTTTTATTCTTTAACTTTGCAAAAACAAAAGTCTTCCTTAAAAAAAATCAATCAACATTTTTTCCTTGTTGGCCTTACACGGAAAATTCATCAAAAAGAAATTCGAAATATAAATAAGAAGTCGTTGAATCATGCAAACCCACCAACTCCTGTTGTTCTTTAATTTATAGGTATTATTTTACTGAAAAATAAAAAATGGCGAGCATGCTGTTTAATATCTGGCTCTTTTGCTTGTTCATTAAGATACAAATATAAAATCTATAAATATATTCTGCAATATTAATTACAATAATTGCATGCGTTTTGTCACATGTGTGCCATATTTTTTCTTCTCTCTGTGTTAGAGAACTTCAGGTATGGATGATGAAGGTCATCTTACTCTTCACATCTTGGTACATGGAACCTGCTGAGTTCATTTACTTTAAACTAATACTCTTTTCCACCCTCCTGCAGCACCTAAACAACTACAGATGTCAGTGGTTTGTCTTTTGAGCTGTCTTCTTGCAATATATACAATATAGGCAACATATAAAATATATATTATATATAGGTATATATACAAACCAATACTTATATGATTTATGTATATGTAATTTTTAACTTTTTAATTTATGTAGATTATGTTAATAAATCATGTTTTTCCCTATGAAGCTCTGTATGTGTTAAATGTGGCCTGAAGTTGTCTCTATACTTAAATGAGCTGCAACCTAATTTAGTATATAAAAAATTATAATCTTATTTAAGTGTATATTCATGTAACAGCTCAGTTCCAGTCAATTATAGCAGCAACCAATCACAGGCAGCCAATTGATCAGACAATGTCCATATGAGGCAAATGACTCAACATACTGCACCCAAATACGGAATATACAGAGCTATAACACAGCAAGAGTCTTCTGTATGTTCTTTCCTTTTTCTACTTATAAATCCTGCTGCCCATATTGCTGGGTGCAGCTTTCTGAACCTCCACTGCTTCAGAGTATGACCAATTCACAAATCTTTCTTTGCTTAATGTTGGGAGCCGCCGACACCGGTCGCCTTACTTGGCGGACGTAGGGCCTGTGGGTGGGAGCGGAGCCTGAGCTAGATTGCCCCTCCCATCGAGTGAGTCAAGTTGGCGCCTGCTTCCTGCCCCCTGATTGCGCTGGCGACTTAAACAACCCGCTCTGTAAGATAGTCTGCCTAGCAACAACTGATGTTAGCCAATCAGCCCGCATCGCGCGCTTTGAACTGATTGGCCACTGTCACCCTATAAAAGTGAATGCCTCTCCCGCCACGAGACAGGAAGCACAGAGAGAGATAGAGAAAGTCCACCGGCGAGAAAGGGCTGGTGGCAGAGAGGAGGCCTCGCGGGGCCCACGCGGAGACAAATAAAGGCAAGGTTGCACACCGCCAGACTTTGTCGTGTGTCTTTCCTGCCGGCCGGGAGCGACCCCGACAGCTTAAATTTTGCTAAATTTAAACAGTCTAAAGATTTTCTTTTAACAATGTTTAAGATTCAACTATAGACGCACTTAGTCCATTACTTCTAACTACATTATAATGCCCAGTATTCGGTATGTTCTCATTTTACCTACATTTTTCTTTTTTTTTTTTTTTAATTTTATTTAAGGAGAAAAGAAAAAAAAAGCAGGGAAAGGGTACAAGTTATACAGATTTACAGAAAAAAAATGAACAGTAGGAAATCACTAGTTAATGGATTACATATTGCCATCTTAGAAATAATTGTTCAAGTCACAAAATTAAAGCTTGTAAAGTGGACATTCCATCAATGATACTGCAAACAGTTCTGTTCATTGATCCAATAAAACTCTGTGATATCATTTTCTATCTTATACACTTAAATATACATGCAGTTATATAGTTTGGATCACTTTCTTTTCCTCTCTTTTGTACCATGACTATTACACATTTTGGGTTTCATTGCTCCCACGGTTCTTATTACTTTTTTGGAAGAGAATAAAACCAAATGTGACATAACAGAACAGAATCGGTCAAGTCAAAAGGGTGGACATAATAGAAAATGTAAAAACATAATACAAGGTAATCAACAATGGTTACCATAATGCCTCCCGCTATCTCTAATAGAATTGCCTATATCGTTAGTTATAATACAATTGAACAAAACAGTAAAGAATAAAACCGACAAAACCAAAACATTGGAGACATTGTAGGTCTTCAAAAGTAGATAAAAGTCAACAAGAATGGGCGTCATAATGAATCTCATTATCTTCACAGCTGATGCCTAAACTTTCGAACCTGATACTATCCAGCAAAACAGAATAGGGGAACATCAGTTAAAAACCAGATGGTGAGAGTAATACAGGGCTTTAAATCAAGGTAATGAAAAGTCAAAGTGGGTTACTATAATATATCCTGCTATTTTTTTCCTTTAATTAAAAGGATAAAGATAAAAAAATAAATAATGGAGTGGAGATTGAGATAAAAGAGGGCATAACAACGAAACAGCGCAGATCAAAATTTTTCTTAAGGATGACCCCTGAAACTGCTGTGGACTTTCGCACCTACAAATAATGTTGCAATGAAATTTTTGCAGACATGTGAAACTTTCTTTCCATATCACTCCAGAGCCAAATTTGTAAGCCACACATTTGACTAGTGATAGCCAGCTATGGAGGGGCTATAGCAGTCTACACTTCCATAAGCAGATCACACGATTTCCTTAACCCTACATCCCACCTAGCTATTATCCAGCTGTTTCTTTATCAGTATAATAAAGTTCTTCTCATTTTACTATATATTTTTCTGATCATTAAACTGACATGCTTATAGTATTAATGTTTTCCACCTAAAAGCATCCCCTAATTTATTTAAGCTCTTACATATTTCTGCATAATTAGGCTCGGTCTAAGGCAGAAAGAGGAAAGGAGAGCTCCAAGCTATTTATTAGAAAGCCCATGAACCAACATGAACAGAGATAGAGGTGGATAGGCACCATGGTGGTCATTTGTCTTCTGCTTACCTTTGCAGGCTGAAGTACCACATCTTGAACAGCCAAGAACTCATGGGACAGTACCTCAATGTGAGGAGGAAGGGAGAGGGTGTTCAATAAATGTCACTGCTTAAACTTTCATGAGAAATGACAGTTTTAAAATATAAACCATGGATTCTTCCCTCTTAACATCCCCTAGTAATCACTGAATAACTTAAGCTGCAAAGAGCTAGTATATGGTGCGTGTAAGCAGGGCATTGAGCAGGGTAGGTGGGAATGAGGGTTCTGAGAGTGGCCCTGTAGCCTGGCGGCTGACCAGGAGACTTCCAGTCTGCTTGGCATGTGTCATCCCTGGATTTGAAGACTCCTCAACACTTTTGTCCTGTTTTTGTTAAGACGTTTCCTCTGTGGAGTATGGAGAAGATACTGAGCTCATTGGATTCACAGAACTCCTCATTCTTTTTTTTTTTTTTTTTTTTTTTTTTTTTTCCGGTCTTTTTTTCATTTTTATCGGTACCAGGGATCGAACTCACGACTGCCTGCTTGCAAGGCAGGTGCTTATGCCGCTGAGCTAAATCCCCAGCCCCGAACTCCTCATTCTTCTGCTACAAAATTAAGGTTAGGGAAGGAGTTTATAGGAGATCAACTGGCTGGGAGACCAGGGCCAACCCCAGTCTACTAGAATTCCCATCTCTAGGGGTGGGACACAGGTACCTGCTTTGTCAGGAATTCTCCAGATTATTATGGTGTTCAGCTGAGTTTGGGACACACACTGAGCTACCCCACTCCTCCAAGACCTTCAGGCAAACTCTTGCTACGTGAGACTTTCACACTTGAAAAACATTTGTGCCCATATCCATTTGCTTTCATTTTTTATACTTCTATTACATATCCCTTAGTTACTGATAAAAACCCGAACAAACAATGCATATGTTCATAGCAAAATGTCAGGAAGCTATAAGGTGAACAATCAAAGATTGAAGTTAAGTAATTTACTAAGAAAACAAACAAACAAAAAAAAACTAGCAAACTCAATGTATCAGACAGCTGACTCCCAGTCCTGGCTTGCTTGGAGTTTCTCACATCCTCTCTTCCTGGAATTGGCAGTATGTATCTCTTCAGTATTAGGAGCACATAGAAAAAAATATCAGTTTTTCCTCTTATGTCCTATACTAGTATGAGAAAGCATTAAAAAGTCAGTTATTCCATAATCAATACTCATCAAAGAGTTGGACAAGTATGAATAATGTGAGTGTTCTGTATTGGCATTTTTCAGGTAATGCCTGTGTTTGGGATTCCGCTGCATTTGGCTGGCCAGAGAAAGGTATAATTCTTTCTGACTAAGAGTTGCAGTCCACATACAAAGTCCTTTGTGATGGAGGTCCGTCAGCTTTTATGGACTTCAAAGCTATTTGCCTCAGTACACTTTGAAATGCAGGGTCAGCTCACTGAGCTACATCATGCAATAATAACACATTTTTATAGGAGTAGCTTGTCAGAGCAGCAAAAACATGCGATACATAAAACTAATAAACACACCATGTCTACAGAGTCTATCCTAGTAACCAGATAAGGCAATAAAATTGACAGCAGCCATCAAAAAGCTCCCTTTCTGACTTTGGGGGGGGGGTAAATTTACTGTTGCTTAAAACAGAGGAGCTGTCACAAAGCCTTAGATCAGCGTGCAGTTACAAAGCAGCAAGTTGCTTCCTATGGAAAGAGCACGTCTGATAGACAAAAGCTAGATGAGCATGCTGTATGTCTTGCTAAGGTTTGGGCCCTGGTAGTCTTTAGTGTAAACCAGTCTGCTTCAGATATTTTCTACAGAATGCTTTTGAATTTTCAAGTTACATATTAAACATTATGAAGGACAGTGGGGCTATAGAGTGGTGGGTTAGCAATCAGTATTTCCCATCTGAAGCCTACAAATGAAATTCAGAAGGCATGAAATGGGCTGGTGTTGGATAAGACTGGGGTTGTACAGTGTGGACTTCTACATTCTGAAATGAGAAACGTAGAAGCAATAAATTTACCATTAAGAGTAATATGGGGTTTTTACATCAAATCAATCCGTAGACTAAGAATCAGAGCCAACTTTCATCCAACACAATCCCAGCATAAGAATTCACTTTTGGTGAAATGTCCTGATAATTCTGATAAGAAATGTGTGAGAAGTCCGGAGACACTGGCAATGTGGATTGAAGCTAGGGCTAGGAGGGGCAGAAGGAGGTGCTGATAAGGGCTCAGGGATCAGAGGCAAGGCAAAATGCCAGCACAGCAACCAACCATTAAAGACTTACCAAGTCCTTACTTTATTGTAGGCATGTTCTAGGACACCCCTGGGCCAAGACCTGGTCACAAAGCTTACATTTGGGAAAGACGGGGCAAGACAAATTGAAGCAAAGGAGGAAGATAATTCCACACACTGATAAGCACATAAAGACAATGAAGGTGCTAGAAAGCATGCTAAGTATAGCATAATTTGGTTTGGGCTGGCTAGGTGACGGAAGAGCTCTCCTCAGGGAGGGAACATGAGTGCTGGACTCTCCTTTGGAGAGTGACTGCAGAGCCTTCCAGCCAAGCAGAAAGCAAGTGCAAAGGACTGAAATCCAAAGCAAACAAGAGTCTCACCATGGCTGATGCTCAGACTGTACTGATTTTCCTAAGAGTGCAAAAACAGACTAAGAGGGTTGGTTTGCACATTTCCACTCTGTTATACTGTTCCCACCTAAGGACTAATAAATGCTGACTTGTAGTAAATCTGATCAATTTTTACATTGATATCAAATCAGAATTTCAGAACTACAAATTAGCATCTCTAACCTAAAATTAGTTGTAGCATTTAATCCAGGCCTATGCAATCATCCCTTGGTTTCCAGAGGGGAGTTACTTCCACAATTCTTTATGGATACCAAAGTCTTTAAAAGCTCAAGTCCCTTATATAAAATGACATAATATTTTCATGTAACCTGTACATCTTTATGTATACTTTAAATCATCCACAGATTTCCTATAATGCCCAAAATAATACAAATGCTCTGTACTGTTTAAGAAATGATGTGAAAAGAGTCCATATATATTCAATACATATGGAATTTTTTCTGAATATTGTCTATCCACAGTAGCTTGAATCCATGGACACAGAGGAGGAGGGTGACTGTTCACATGGCAATTAAGTACAGGAATTCCCAGCAATCATGCTTCACTCCAGACTTGAGAAGATCCAGTCCTGCAGGAGAGAGCTCCTTGGGCCTTGGGAAGGGCTACATTATAACATTACCCGTTTCCCTGTCCTGATGTCTATTAGCATCCACTGCTGTTGTCTCCTGTCTACCACTGGCACAACCATTGCTGACATCTTCAGCATCAACCAAAAGCAACTTCTCAGTAAACTGGCATTCTTTGTTCCCAACAATGTCTATGCAGAGATGGCTTCTTCCACTGGTTTCCATTGTGAATATGCTCTCTCCAACACCCTCCAAGTTAAACAGGTTTTGAGGGCCACCCTGGGAACCAAACCACCATGGATGTCCTAGGTCCTGTGGGAAAGCAGCTTGTAAGGACCAGATACGAGCATTTTGGAGCACAGACAAGTTATACATTGGATCTTCAACCTAACAGCCAGCCCCATAGGGAGCTGGGAGCCTCCCAGGCTGTGGAGTGAGGCCAATGAAATCCTAAACCTTGATGACGTCTAGGTGGTCTTTTTTGTAGTTATTTACATGCTAGAGGCATTACAGAGACCTTAGAAACCCCCCCTTCGTTAACTCTGTTAACGAAGTTAACAGAGTTTATTTGACAGCAGTATTCATTTCTGTCTTTTTTTCAAATTCATTGTGTTTTCCTGTTTCCATTTAGAATACGCATGGAGACTTTGTCCTGCACTGCTTTTTCAGAATGGATAGATTGGTGAGAACTGAGACTAAAGCACAGTGTGGAAACTGCTGGTGAGATAAGGCTGACCCTAACACTGCCAAGTGGGAAGCCCTGGAGATCTTCTTCCAGGGACAGGGTGGAAGTGTTAGGAGGGATGTTAGAGAGAGGAGGGCAGATGGCCTCCTGGTGGGTAACTTCTCCCTCATCTCCCCCCTACCTTCTACACAAGGAAATAACTCTGTCTCTCACAACAGCATCTTAGTTTTGGTCTGAGTCAGTTTACCTTCCATGGGAGGTTTGCAAGGGGAAGAAGATCACAAAAGCACACTTAGTCCCAGCCCAGCAGCAGACACCAATCTGAAAAGTCTGGTCACCAACAGATGACTGCAACTCCACTAAGAATAACTTTGCTAAACACATTCATTTGTCTCCCCTGAAGCCTTCAGCACTAAATGTGTTGATATTTCCACCTGAGAAAGAATTTAACTGCATAGATGAGAAGAGCGGCTGATAAGAACAAAAATATGATCAGAAAGAAGATTCCCACAGCTGTAATGCCACAGGACAGTGTGACATCAGATAGCTGAACTCCCTGTAGTGATGGAGGAGTTGCACACCTGATCTCCACAAAGTCCTTGAGTTTCTGCACATTTTCTTTGTACCATGTTAAAAAATGAATATTTGAGCAAGTGCAATCCAGGGGGTTGTGACTTAAATTAATGACTTTCTGCTGAGATAAGATGGGGAGGACCTGGGGTGGGATAATGCGAATGCTATTGGCAGCCAAGTTGAGGTAGGTGCCCTTAAATTGGTTTAGAGCATTGATGCTACTGGATGTCAGGTTGTTGTGGCTTAAGTCTATATAAGTCATATTTCCAAGGCTGTGGAAGGCTTCCGGGTCTATGGAAGAAAGATCACAGGAGGATAAAACCAGAATCTCCAAACTGCCCACCATCTGAAAAAGGTTGATCTTCGGGATATTCCCATCCTTAAAGTGATTCCCCTGTAAATTCAGATGCCGGAGATTAGGCAGGCCTGCTAGAAGATGCTCGTTGCTGGCATCAAGCAAGCAGTGAGAGAGATTCAGAACCTGCAAGAGATCAAGGTTTTGGAAAGGACTTTGCTCCGCAATAACGTGTAAGCGAGTGAATGCCAAATCCAGGAGTTCCAGCCGAGGACATACTTTGAATGCTTCATTCTGGAGACCAAGGGGCTGATTGTAGCTCAGGTTTAGGCTTTGCAATTGGGGCAGAGTTTTGAGTTGCAGATTGCAGCAATCAGAAGCATCAATGCCATTATGGCTTAAGTCGAGTTTCTGCAGATTTTCTAATTTTTCTAAACAGCCAGCACCAAGTTCAAGTTTGTTTGTGTTACCTTTGATGTAGAGGTGTGTAAGGGAGGGGAAACTAGCAGCATTGATCTGACATAATTGGGTAAATTTATTTACACTGAGAATTAATTTCTTCAGTGAAGTCATACCTTTAATCCCAGATGGTAATTCTTTCAGGTGGCAAGCTGTCAGGTCCAGTTCCTGGAGGTGAGTGAAACACCGAAATGTGGTCGAGGAGAGGTTAGAGAAATAATGCAACTGCAGGTTCATGCTCTCCACCGACATTTCACAAAGCTCCGTAAACATGGCTGAATTCAAATGGTGGCTCTCAATGTCCTCATAGGTCCCCAGCCAGAGAGACTGAATAGTAGAATTATGCAGACCACCGAATATAACAGACAAGTCAACAGTTCCTCCAAAATTCAAACTTTGGAAGGCCATTGACTTGAAAGCCCCAGGCTCGATGCCTTTTATGTCATTGCCATTGAAGTTAAGGTTTAGGTAAGTAGCTGGTCTCAGAGAGTCCATATCTTCTCTAGAAAGGTAGTGTATGGCATTATTCTGAAAATCCAAGACTTTTAGATTCCCTGTTGGGAAGTCTTTGGGGAATTTAACTGAGGAAATATAGTTGCTTCCAAGATGCAAACTTTCCAGGTTTTTCAGATTGTATGCTGGGATAAACTCCAGACTGGATATTCCTGTTTGGATTAAGAACAGGTGCTTCAGGGACTCGGGCCCATTAAGTGCTGTTTCTGCCACAAATATGAGAGGGTTTCCAGTTAACACAAGTGTGCTCAACTGAGGATGGCTCTGAAAAGCATTTTCATGGATCCAGTTAATTTGGCACCTTGAAAGACAGTAGTAACAATCAATCATTAGGAAAAGAAAAAAGAAAATTACCAATGTAAAAGCAATGTGTGTTAAAAAAACATTTTTTGTATAAAATAAAACAGAACATATTATTCAAACATAAAAAGCTTTCTTGCATACCTACAGACTGTTGAATTAATTAATTAAAGAATAGCCTCAGTTCTAAACATTCTGATTTAGAATTTATACCAGGTATCTTGTCTCTTTAGATTGAATACTCAGAGGTCTGTGTAAGTGAATGTAAGGAACAATTAATGATGATTTGATGGAATACAGGCAAAATCAAACTATGATTCACTATTTAAAGTACTAAGTAAAAAGTCACATATGCCAAACAAATAGTCTATGATATGTAATATATAATTGTGTGAACCTGTGCTCTCCTAGGAAACTTACAACCTTCTTTCAATTATTTGAGGGAGGAGTTGTGCGAGAGATATAGTTGTGCCAGGGTACTGTGAATGCTATGAACACACTCAGCTACTGAAACTCAGCCCTCTGCTTTCATGTATGAGGCATTAAAGTGGTATATTAATAACTCTACAAGAGTAGAACTATTGTGTGTCAATAAACTAAAAAAACACACACACTCACACACTTTCCACACTGGTGATTTCCTTATCTGTCCATAAGAGGTGGTACTATTCACCATGGGCACGTCACAGTGGTGTCATAAGCATGAACCATTACTATGGATGCGTGTGTTCTTCCAGCTTGAGGAACTGTAACTGGAAGGACGGAGGTGGAGGCCACCAGACATCAGGGACGTGCCAGGCTCCTTCCTTCTTCCCACTCCCCAAACACAATAAGCTGCATAGCCCTTTTGTTTACTTTATTTTTCTAGTACTTCTGCCTGTTGGTCCTCAAATACTAGTTCAGCATTTGAAATCCTGATTCTGCTACTAAAACCAAATAATGGAACTTTTTCCAATTTGTAAAAATGAAAAAAAATTAGTGGGTGTATTTCTCCTGGAATTTTTTCCTATATGCCATGACCTGGAAATATATCATTCTGTCAAAATATAGTATAATATGGCACTTGATATAGGATAGGATTTATTTTTTGTTTTGTTATCAGTGTTCCTGAGAGCTTCTTAAACAGTATTGCTGATACAGCTAATTTGAGAACAATCAAATTTTCTCTCCATTGATTGGAGTTTATTTGAATCACATTTCACTGGCACAAATACTTCATGAGAAAGGGCAAATGAACATGCATGATAAGCAGATTGTCCCTGCATCCAAAAGATTCAGGAATAAATTTAAATCCAGTGTGTGTGTGTGTGTGTGTGTGTGTGTGTGTGTGTGTGTTTTAACCAAAGTAAAAAATCCAGAACCCATAAGGAACTCACACACATACCTGGTTAAATCCAAAAAGGTAAGATTTATGAGTCTGCTGAAGGTTATATCTTGAATTGTAGGTAAGAAATTAAAGCCGAATTCCAAAAATTCTGTTGTGTTTGGTAGAGTGTCAGGAATTTCACTGAGACCTAAATTTTCACAGTTATATGTTTTGTTGGCTTCTTTCTAATGAGAGAAACAATACAAATTAATATTGGATTCAGTGATGGATTGACTAAATAGCAATATGAGATATGTTTAACTCTTTGAGTGTAATTACACTCTTAGTAATCTTGACCAAAAATACACTTATAAAAACATAAAATGACATGTACAATCTTACTCAGTGTAGTATTTTTTGTAATAGCAAAAGACTGACATCAACCTTTGATATATAAGGCTAGTTGACCAAAATATAGCTCATTAGGGCTAAGGATTTAGCTCAGTAGTGTAAGTGTCTACCTGACAAGCACAAGGTCATGAGTTCGATCCCCAGTACTGCCAAAAAAAAAAAAAAAAAAAAAAAAAAAAGACAAAATATAGTTCATTCACAAAATGGAACTCTCGGAAGCTGCAAAAGGAATGAGGAAGGTCTGCCCACACTGATACAGAGTGATGCTCAGGACACACCACAAGGTGCAAACAGCGAAGTGTACCACAGTAGATAGAACATGTATAGTACATAGTGTGCTTTCTATTGGTATGCTTGTATTTTTTCTTCTTTTATTACAATATATTTGCTATACATAAAATACTTTCATTGTGGGGAGGTGATCATATTGCATTTGATCATTTTTACATTCCCTCTTTCTTCCAGTTCTTCCCATGCTCAAATCCCTTCCTCGTTTCCACATAGTCTAACTCCCTTTTCCTTTCATCTAAATGAAACCAAGGTAAAGAAAATGACTTTTATGGTGAGAGAGGGGACGAGATATGAAAATCAAGATGAAAGTAAAACTTCTCTGAATATACTTTGGTTTATGATTTTCCTTCCGGATTCATGGAAATGTCCCTTAAGAAAGCAAACAAATAACCCTAGATTAGCATTACCAAAATAAGACAATCAGATATGTACTTTCTGATGTGGTTAAAGAAATTAAACTTAAATCCAATCAAGACTTGGCAGTCTAACGTCATGTTTACAAGTGATATGGCAGGTTTAAGCTAACCATTGCCCAAAGGCACAAGGTAGCAGCCAACCAAATGTAGAAAGTGGGACATTATATAAAACAAGTGACTATTTTACCAGCGGGGCGGGGGGGGGGGGGTGTGTGGGGTGGGGATGGGGGGTGGGGAGAGCTTTTTCAAAAGAAACAAAACTTCAAAGCTATTTAAGAGACATAACCAACACAAAACAGACCAGCCTTTGTTTATTTTGATTCAAATAAAGCAGTCAGGAAAAGACACCTTAAGGAATGTCACAGAACATTGAGATTGAGGTTAGTTGATATTAAGAAATTATGATGTGATCCCAGAACTGGTAGGAGGATCAAAATTTGGAACTGACCCAACAGTTTAATGATTTAGCAAGGCCTTGTCTCAAAAGAAAAAAGTACATATATATATATATATGGCTGGGGAAGTAGCTGAGTGCAAAGGCCCTGGGCACGGTGCCCAGTACTGCAGTGAGCTAGTGCAGAGAAAGAAAAAGTAAGAGAAATTTTGATTTTTGTAACGTTAGTGGCCTTGCAGTTACATAGAAGAAATGTTCTTATTGCTTTGAGATGTATATTATTTAGAGGTAAAATGACAGGTTGTTTGAGAATTGCTTTAAAGTACTTTGGCAGGAAAAGAGGGGAAGAATAGGCAGATGGAGTAAACGGACAAAGGCTGATGGCTGCTGAATACTCAGTATGAGTGGTGTACTGAACACTGAGTGTTGCATGAGGGACGCGTTCACAGAAGATCTTAATTAACTTATTTTGTATACATTACAAATTTTAAAAAAATAACAAGATGGCACAAACTTGTGGCCTTACAATATTTTTGGTACAGACATTTCTATTATTAAACTTATTGGCACAGTGTAGGTCTACATAAGGATCACATTCATCATAGGGACTTGGTATTTATACTGATATATCTTAATTCTTATTTTTTTCCCATTCTCCTTTCTCTTTCCTCCCTTCAATCCCTTTTCTCCTACTTATTTAGAAAGCCTTGTTTCTATTTTATCCTTCTTTTCTCTTTTTTTTGTTTTCCTTTCTTTCCTCTCCTCCCCCACCCTAGTCCCCCTTGCATTTTGAACAATTGCTTCCTGTTTCACAATATCTATTATATGTTTTGGTTCTTACACTTTAATTTCTCACACCAGAGAGACAATGCAATATTTATATGTTTGTCCAGTTTATTTCACTTAAGAGCATGGTCTCAAGGTCTGCCCATTTAACTATAAATGTCTCAAGTTTATCCTTCTTTATGGATAGATAGTACTCCATCATATAACAGAAACATCTTTTTTATCCATTTATCAGCTGATGGGCATTTATATTGCTTCTAATATTTAGCTATTACAAACTGTACTGCTGTAACATAGGTGCACATATATCATTGTGATATGATGCTTCTTATTCTTTTGGGGAGATATCAGACAAGTCAACAGTCAAATGGGACCACTGGTCTTAGTTTTCTGATGAATCTCCAGATTGACTGCACCAGTCTACATTCCCACCAACAGTGGAGATGAGTTCCTTTTTTCCTGCATCCCTGCTAGCATTTGTTATTGATTTCTTGATAATAACCATTCTTTCTGGAAATGGAATTTCTGGATTGTTTTAATTTGTATATCTCAAATGGCCAGTGATTAAACATTTTTTTTTCATATTACTTATTTGCATTTCTACTTTTTCATCTAAGAAGTCTGCATTAATCTCACATGCCCATTTTTGGATTAGGTCTCCTCCTCCTCCTCCTCCTCCTCCTCCTCCTCCTCCTCCTCTTCTTCCTCTTCCTCCTCCTCCTCCTCCTCTTCTTCCTCTTCCTCCTCCTCCTCCTCCTCTTCTTCCTCTTCCTCCTCCTCCTCCTCCTCCTCCTTCTCTTCTTCCTCTTCCTCCTCCTCCCTTTCCTCCTCCTTTTCTTTCTTCTCCTTCTCTTCCCCCTCCTCCTTCTTCCTTTGTGGAATAGCATGTTGTTTTTATCACAGTAGCTTTGTAGTACAATTTCAAGTCAGGGATTGTGATGTCTCCAACCTTGCTTTTGTTGTCTAGAATTGTTTTTGTTATTCTCGATCTCTTCTGGTTCCAAATGAATTTTAGTAATATTTTCTCTAGTTTTTTTGACATATGCTAATGGTATTTTGATTAGGATTGTATTAAATCTGTATAAGTATATTAGAAGTATGGCCATTTTTACTACATTGGTTCTTCTAAGAGCAAGGAATATCTTTCCATTTTCTAATATCCTCTTCAACCTCCTTTTTCAGAGTACTGCAGTTTTCACTGTAAAGCTGTTTTACTTCATTAGACTGATTCCTAAATATTTCATTTTTTGATGCTATTGTGAAAGGAATAATCTTAATATATTAATTAGTTTTGGATGGCTGGTACTATAGGCTGTGGCTATCAGATGCTAGGCTTTGGCCACAGCTTTGTACAGGAGAATTATTCACCCTGTGACTAACCTGTGTAGTGAAAGATTCAGGTCTGACCATTATTGCTTGGTAGGTGCTCTAATCCAGGTTACAGATTTTATACTAACTACATAAAAATGGGAAGTGGCTGGCTGAAGCCTTAACACTAAGGTCATATTTATCTGGATGAAGAAAAGGCACAAAGGAATATATCTCACCTAGATAGGCTCCTCCTCAGAAAGAATGGAGGCACAAGAATGTGGGGGCTCAGGACAATGGGCCAGCTCGCAGGTCATTTCTGACCCATGTGAGTTCATTTGAACCTTTCAAGTGCTGCTTGTCCCTAATCACTCTTTGCATGGCCTCACTGGAACCCCTCTGAAACTGCCCTGCCTGTCAAACCTCTATCCAGCAAACCCATATCAGCAGCTTTCCTTGTGCTGAGTTGCAAAACACACCTACTAGGCTGGACACAGAACTGCACCTGTCCCCCTCCTCTCTGAAGTGTGAGGCTGCAGAGATGTCGCCATTGTCATTGCTTTTGCCTCACTCCAATTTCTGCTTAGAGGTGCACTTTTCTGTAGCTCCTTCGAGTATGCGCATAACAGGATATCACGAGTTTTCTTAAATATTGTGACAATGTTATAACTGTCACTGATGAAATGTCATGTTTATATTTCCTGTAATTCATTCTTTACTTTTATAGACCCAAAGTGCTCTAGACACTGTGGCAAATCCACATAATGTCCTTGAAATGCAACTTGGCATTTAAAACTTAGATTTAGTAGACTAGTGGGACATGCTGCTGGTCCTGTCCCTGGTGCTCCTGAACTTGGACCACCCAGAGGGGAAGTGCATGCGTAGCTGCTGCCCCCACTTTTGCGAGGTGTCAGTTTGCTTAGAGAAGACAGCTTTCTTTTCCCAGTCTCCACTGACATAACTGATTTCACACATACTTGGAAAAAGAAGGCTTCCCTCAATTTGTCTTGCTCTATTCTGGCCCTACAGCAAAAGACTCAGTGCTGGCAATTCCCCGCTTCTGAAAGTATGAATTCCTGTGGCACCTAAATTATTCCCCGTTTCAGCCTCTTGTGTGCTTAAGTAAGCACATTACAGTGCTAATGTGATTCTGAAAGTTGAGAATCCAGGAGGAGCTCTTCTGAGCCTGTGGCCTGAGGGAGTTTCTCAAAAAAGGAAATGCAAGTAAGTGAATAGGTCAGCTTCAACCTAGCAGTAACAGAGCCCGCCGTTGACTCCAGGAGCTTTCTCAAGAAGCACACTGGAGTCTGAGCACAACATTAAACAACCTCGACTTAGGTGGAAATGGTAATGAATCCTTTGCCCTGGACACCTAGCAGAAAGAGGCAATGCCACAAATGCAATTAAGAGAATTTCACCAAACACATTTCCCAGAATGTCTTGGGTTTAGCGCACATGTGGCCCCTTCCTTGAAGCTTCTACAATCACTACTACAATCAAAATTGCTGTGATGATGGGGATGCCCAAGCAACATGCATTCCTGAATCATCTAAGTACTGTTAAACTGTTTTTGTTTTATGTGTTTTTTAAGGCTTGAAGCATTACAGGCATGTGATTATTATCTCTTTTGGTAAAAAGT